CCTCCCAAGTAACTGGGACTACAGGCACCTGCCACAATGCCTGGCTATTTTTTGGTTGCAGCCGTCATTGTTGTTTGGTGGGCCCAGGCTGGATTCGAACCCGCCAGCTCAGGTATATGTGGCTGGCACCTTAGCCACTTGAGCCAGAGGCGCCGAGCCTTCTGTCAAGTTTTGAATTGCGATACACCTCACATACCTCACCTTAGGAATTCAGAACTAATCTGATTATTGACAATCTGATTATTTTGTGATTCTCAAAATAAAGCCTGCATCCTGGAAGCAGGAAGCCTTGTTAAAATGCAGATTGCTGAGTTCCACCCACTCTTAGAGTTTATGTCAGGAATCTTAAATTGAGGCCTCTTGAGAATTTTCCTTTCAGACAAATTGATGCTGATATTGATGGTTGGGGTGGAGGTGGGGGGATATTTTTGAGACCCACCGAACTGAAGTGTTGAGCTGTAAGTTGTATCTCCTCTCAAGCATTAACATTTAATAGGGGGCATGGGTTTTGACAAGTAAGAAACTTAGTGATTGGAGGCTGTGGTGTGGCAATCACTGTGGACCTCTCTGAAATGTTACAAGACTGAACTTGGGTAGAGAAACACTGATCATCCTTGGCAAGGTCTATGGGGAAACCTAGAAGCATGTGTCCTATGAGCCATTCTCAGAAATAAGGGAAAAACACATCACAAAGTCCCAGAGCTACAGTTGCTGGTACAGCTGTGGAGGGAAGGGAACACTTTTACCTTGTTGGCAGGATTGCAAACTAATACAGCCCCTTTGGAAAGAAGTGTGGAGAATCCTCAAAGAACACAAAATAGACTTTGATTCCACAATCCAACTACCAGGTATCTACCCAGGAGAAAAACAATCATTATATCATAAGGACATTTGCAGTGAAAGATTGTTTATCACAGTTCAATTTACATCTCTAAGATGTGGAATCAACCCAAGTGCCCATCAACCCATAAATGGATTACTAAACAAAATGGTGGTATATGTATCTCATGGAATACTATTTATCCATAAAAAGATGGAGAATTTGGATCTTTTTTATTAACCTAGCTGGAGTTGGAGAACAATCTCCTTAATAAAGTTTCATAAGAATGGAAAAGCAAGTATCCAACGTATTCAATACTATTATGAAGCCATTAGAGAAAAAATGCACACTCATACAAGGGAAAAACTCAATTAAATTGACGGTGGGAGAGGAAGGGAGGAGAGAAGGGGGGAGGGCAGGAAAGAGAAGAGGAGGGTTGGTGTGCTCCCACCTAATGGGCACAATGAAGGGGCACCTCCTGGGGGAGGGGCACAACTCCAGCAGGAACTTTGCCTAACAAACCCAAACAATGTAACCTAGTGGTTTGTAACATGTTAATCTGAAATTATAAAAAAAGAAATAAGTGAAAAATTTATTCTTCAAATTTCAACTAAGGGAATGAACACCTCTTGTCAGAGACTTGCAGAAGTCCACACAGCACTCCTTGACCTCAGATGTCCCTCCGCCTACTTGAGTGGCTCCAGCAGCCCTAAGTAGGTGAGAAAAGCAATGAAGGACAGGAGGGCAGAGCAAGCCCTCGGCAGGTATAAATGCCGCTCAGGAGGGCCACTGCAGATCTGTTTGCAGTTAGCAATTAGCAAATGGAAAAATATTTTTGACGTTTGGCTCTGGAGCTTTCGATGTTTAGCTTTGTCACTGGGATTAGTTTTATCAGTAAAACAAATCTCTGCTCCCAAAGTTCCTGCTGAAACCTTGTCAGGCAGTCTGAGGACTTTTCTTGGCACAGTTTGTGGGTTTACCTTCTCCAAAAGTGTAGTAAGGGAAAGCTGATGATCTGCTAGAAGCCTTAGAAATCTTTGACATTGATTGGCTTACTGCTTATTGACAGTTACTACCTCTGATGCAAGCAAGCGGGGACCCTTACTAACACCAGCCAAGCTTCCCAGCAGGTCACAATGCTCAACGAGTTAGCTGGACATTTGATCACGGAAACGAAGTTGTTTATGACAAAAACTGTTCATGGTAGGATGCTGTCTCCTTGACATCCAACAGTCTCATTTCCATTTTGGAATTATTAAAGAACTTTTGTGTTTAAATAATTATTGCTATTCTCACAATTGGCTGGCAAAGGTATAGTAAACTCCAACAACATTGCTTAATGAGAGGCACAAATCAGGTAAATCACATAGCCACAGTAAACCTGATATTCTGGAACTGACTCTTTACATAATGAGCCAAGAGGTTTTAGGGATTTAGTTTAGAAGTAGAACGGGCTACATACGCCCTTTCAGTGGTATTATAAAGAAAGGAGGAAGGGCCAGAACAATGGAGGTTACCAAGCAAAGCACAGAGGTGGGTGGGAACTGTTTTCTTTTCACTTCAGTGGCTCTTTTAGGGCATATTGACTAATCCTGAAAATTGCTTTTAATACTGAAGCATGACCTAACAAATAATTGGTGGGGATGAAAGTAAATGTCCATTCCTGTAAGTGCCTGTGACAGGGGTAAAAGTGAAACTGGTCTGATGACTGTTTTCTCCAGCTCGGAATGAGTTCAGTGTGGAGATGCACGGTCTGGGAGCGATGGAAGCGGTCGGTCCTTCCCTATCTGTGCTTATGAGCCATTTGCTATCTCAGCACCATTTGAACACAAAGTCTTCATACTTTCAACCAGTGGCCCTTTCTTCAGAAAAGGAACATTTTAAATGCTTATAGCAAAAGTGTTAACAATAATGGCCAATCTGAGTTTATATACTTTTCTGGTTAATTCAAAAATTATATCTCTAAAAATGTCCATCACAAAAAATTCAAGAAGTGCTAGTCTTGGAATTACATAAGAAAAAACTTGATGCCTAATAGTTTCAAATAATGAAAAAATTTTGCTATCTAATGAAATGTATTACAATATGATTTTTATACAAAATTCAGTATAAGTAAGTAAAATATAAAGAGGTACCCTTATACCATAATATGAATGTCACACAAAGTTTGTAACATAAGTAATCAAATTATTAAATATTGACCAGGTGTTGTGACGAACACTTGGAATCCTAGCACTCTGTTGGGAGCTCCTGAGTTTAAGACCATGGTAAGCAAGAGTGAAACCCTATCTCTACCAAAAATAGAAAAATTACCGGCTGTCAGGCAGCGCCTGTGGCTCAAAGGAGTAGGGCGCCAGCCCCATATACTGGAGGTGGTGGGTTCAAACCTGGTTCCAGTCAAAAACTGCAAAAAAAAAAAAAAAAAAAGAAAAAGAAAGAAAAAAGAAAAATTACCAAATGTCATAGCAAGTGCCTGTAGTCACAGCTACTTGGGAGATTAAGGCAGAAGAATTGCTTGAACCCAGGAGTTAGAGGTTGTTGTGAACTAGGCTGATGCCATGGTACTCTAACCTGGGCAACAGAGAGAGACTCAGTCTCAAAAAAAAAAAATCCAAATTATTAAATGTTTATTGATTGCCTATTTTAGGCCCTGAATAGTAAGAAATATTATAGGTTATATTTATAAGGTACATTTAGAGCTATCCATAAATATTTCTTGCAAATGAGATCATTATTAGGGGAGTCTTATGGAGCTGTAACAACTGGATTTGGGAGTAAGGTACAGGATCGAATTTTGGTTCTAATACCAGCTGGATTTCATATCCATGACCCATAGCCTACTCATCTAAAACCAAGGTCCCCGATACTTAGCTACAGTAGTGCTATGGGGCTGTGAAGGACTTACCTTAGTGCCTGGAGCTTAGTAGGGTCTAAATCAGTAGCTACTATCAGCTAGATCAGTCTGCTGAGAGTTTAGGTAGATGGGTATTTCAAATGGGTCTTAAAGAATATACAGAATTTTGAACGCAAAGTGATGTACTGATGGTAGAACATTCTAGGCAAGGAGAGTTACTGGAACAAAGATGAGAAGGAATTGGGTCAGATAAAGTAGAAAAAAATGTAAATACTAAGTTTGACCGGGGGAGGTGAAGCCCCCAAAATGTTGAAGAACAGGCAGAAGAGTTTGGCCTTAGAACTGTGAATAAAGGAAACAATTGTACATATTTGAAAAAGAAAGTGATAAGATAAAGCTGTTTGAGATTAGCCTGGGAATAACAGGCAAGAGAGTTCAGGGAAAAAATAGGATGAACTTGGGAAAGCTATTGAGAGTATAAAGCATGAAGGGCCTATATAGTGCAGGACAGTGAAAACTGAAAGGAAAGATTAACACTCCCTAGAACTATTAAGAGTTACTGTTAAGGGTTGCTTTGATTGCCAAGGCTAATAACAATTGCCATCATTTATTCAACAACACTTAACATAATGTGTGTCACATAGAAAGGATTTTCAGTTGTGAGGTAATATGCCCTTACTGTGAAGATAAGAAAACTGAACCTTAGCGAACTCATGCCACAGTGTATTTCACTTCCAAATATTTTCACACCTTATTCATTGGGGGAATGGTTTTATTATAGGTCTCTCCTATGTTGTTGAATATTCCAAAAAGGATAACTTCACACTTCATTTTGCTATCCTTAGCTGGCTGATGCTAAGAATAGCACAGACTGGGATGTTTATCAAGTCTATAGATGGATGGATGTGTAGGCAAAGTGGCTCAGAGCTTACGTAGCTAATAAGGAGGAAGCAGAATTCAAATCTGGATTGTTTGTTGTAACACTGTGTATTAACTCTCATTACTCAATTTCT